CGTTGTTCTTCCATTCTCACTTTTCCCCGTCGAGTCCGGCCGAATTCGCGGGGAAAAGTGAGAATGGAAGAACAACGCAGGGGTTATCGCGATAACGCGATAACACGCATGGCCCGCCGGCGGAACGGAGCGAAAGCAAAGACCTACCCGCGACGGCAGCACGTGGCGCACTGACGGCTCCGCGGTCATCTTCCCCACCTCTGCCCCCTCCACCGCGGCATCCTTTGCCCCTACTCGCGCGACCTTCCTCTCCCCCCCGAACCGCGAGGCACTCCGCAGCCCCCCGTTCCCGCGGCCCTGAACCATCCCCACCAGCACACCGGGCCTAGCGGGGCGCCGTGCTTCTCTCGCCCCCCACTATCTCGCCCATTCCACCCACGCCTCCGTCCCACTCTTCGGAGTTCCCGAGAGTCTTTCTTCCTCGCGAGTCGCCCTTCTCGTCTTCCGTGGCGATGTGTCTCGCGGCTGATTTCTTTTCTCTATCTCTCTCTCTTTCTCTCCGCTCTTCCAGCCGGGGTTCTTACCCCGGTCGCCTTCTCGCGTCCGCACATCCGGCCGATTCGCGATTTCTTCGCGACGACACGCGCTCGACACGTCGCGTCTCCGATCATTATGGACGATACTCGGTACTCTCGCGAGAACACGCCGGACCACTCGTGCCGTTGGACCCCGAGACCCCTTGTTGGATCGCGCAGTGTAACGCAGGTGTGAGAGACGCTACGCAAATGACGTGGTGATGAATCGAGAAAGTTTCTCGGACGAGCTCGAGCGAGAGTACGAAAAGTACGAAAAGTTGTGGATTAAAGGTACGATGAAAGCGCCGGATGTGTACAATTTTTGGGATTAATATTCGCTTATGATATAAGTGCCGCGTATCCGTAACACCGCACAGTTTCTTTACCTCATACGATCCTGTCTCCCATTTTCCTAGTTTATTGTTTATTTTTTATCAGTTCTTGTGTGAAGATGTACGTATCTTATTGTACGAAGTAAGGAAGTTTAATTATTTAATACATTATCTCAATAGTTGGAAGTATTTATAATAATTTAGTTGACATATTTGACGTATCATTGCCCTCGTTTAGACACGTCATTGGTAAGCTCTTAAGCAGAAGTCAACATAATCTGTTTTCATTTTTATTTTACTTTTTCTCATGTTTTTTTTTCTTGTATTACATTTCTCATATATTCTGTATACTTTGTGTGTATAAATTACTCTTATAGGCAGTAAGAAACATTTTGTACTTGCGTTAAAATCGACCCTTGTTGAAATTTTTGTGTTAAATTTTTAACAAGCCCATATGTTAATTTAACATATTGTGTTTATGCTATCTCAATATTTTGTGTTAAGTCGATATTCAACATATGTAAATGTTAAGATAACACATTTTATACTTCAGTATCAATTAATATATTATAAATGTTAATTTTACCGAATATTATTGGTGCCATATTTTGTACGTTAAAATTTATAGACAAGTTGTATCCTCAGTAACGGTTGTCATTTTACAAAATTAAATAATACGAAGTATATGTACAGCTCGAACGTAAAAGTGGTGTAGTATGTATGTAAAGTAGGCGACTTAAGAGTTCGAGTCTTATCAGTGGTAAGCATATTTTGCAAACATAATTTTGATTGAATCAATTAAATGGCATATAAATTAAGAAGATTTCGGACAAAATCATTGACAATAATCTAAGAATAACGCGGCAAAAAAGAAGTGATAAATAATCTTTTTAGTATAAAAATAACGTTATATTTGATATTATAAATATGTCAATTTAACGTACAATTTGCTTCCAAATAGTAACAATATGTTGTATATTTGTTGGTTTTGTTAATTTTTGACATAATATTTGTGTTATTTTTCAACATATTTTGTGTTAAACAGACACAAAAATTTAGGTGAGCCGTTTGGGACGTGTGAAATATGTTAAGTTTAACATACAATTTTTTATTGTATATCGATACTTATACAATAAAAAATTTTGCGTTACAAACGGTCAAGTTTTTGCGTTACTTTCACAAGATGAATATGTTAAAAAGTAAAATGTGAACAAGGCGAATATATTAATTTAACATATTTTGAATACTTTTTCACATACTTCTTATGTTAAAGTAACACAAAAATTCCAGTTTCCAATGCAAAATTTTTTATATACGCCGTGTACTAAATGAATTTATTTTCCCGTCAAAAGAACAAAGTAAATAAATAAATAAAATAAACTGAAGCAGAAAGATGTGACAGAGGAAAGAAATTGAACGATCTCGCGGGCATACCCTTGAAGAGATTACACATCTGCGTAAGTAAATTTTAAATTAAAATTCCGCAGTAAAACACTAAGAAAAGAATTGAAAAGAAGTTTCGCGATTTCTTCGCGATTGCTCGCCGACATTCTGTCCTTGCGGCCGTCGTTGAGCTTACGAACGAGATATGCTGCATCATTTATGTAACAAATATATTTCGCGCTTACGGCACGATGCTCTTCGATAGCCGATATGTAAAATGATTCAGTAGGAACGTTCCCCTGTCTGACAGTGATGCAGCGGCTTCTACTTAACCGACTTCCCGCTTCCCATAACATTTAGCCGCACAAAGTGCAGCCTCGTGTTTCTCCGCTCGAATTTTTATCTCCGATCGAACATTGATCGAATATCTCGATCTCCCGAGGCCCGAGCGATTCCTCGCGCGGCAATCGCGCAGCGCACTTACATTCCGGCGCGTATACTGCGCCGTGCCACGATTATATAATCCCTTTATAATGATCTCATTAAAGTTAGGCCGGTTAAGAGTAGAATTTACAAACAGTAATACGATTTACTTAATAATGATTTATTCCGCGCTTATGACGCCGTTTGTAGCCGTAAATTACCTAGCGAAGACATTTATTGCCGCGGCGTAACCCGAGCCTATATATGATCTCTTCGCCATTTTCGTGATCTAACGGTCTCTCGGCTGCGTTACTTTCCGTTTTCGCATGGCCGATCGACGATTTACAAATCCTCACCGTCGGGTGTAGATCGTACGGATCGACATGATCCGACTCGACTTATCAACGACGCTGCGGCCGAATTACCGAGTCGTCCCGAGAAACGATCGGCTCTCGATCGTCCATCGATCCAGAGTCCGCCGGATCGACTGTCATCTCACGCGCGGTCCGGCCTGCGTATCGACGAGCTATCGGGCAGACCACCAAATCCTTCGGACCCTATCCCAACCCTTGTTAGCGCGAGAATGTAAATCAACTCGTAATAGCATGGCAGCCGGGGATTAAGCGACGCGCGGAGACGAGCAGAGGCACAGCGAGAAGGTACGAAGTACTGTCGACACGACGACGACGACGACGACGTCGTCGGCGGCGGCGGCGGTAGGAGTAGGTGGGGAAGGGCCCCTTCCCCTTGTCCCGGAGCATTAGGAGTTCGGTAATAAATCTCGTTGAAAAAACGCCCGCGCGCACTTACACACACACCCACACAGGGGCGTGCGCGCACGTACACACGCACACGTATATATGCCCGCGTACCGGGGGTCTCTCAGGCACTTCTGCTCTCTTCTTCGCGTCTATCTCGTTCGGCTCGTNGGCTCGTACATCTGTGCTCTCCCGCCACAGTCGCGACTGTGAGAGAGAAAGACGGAAGGGTGATCGAAGGGATGGGAAGGGACAAGACGAGGGAGAAATAGATCTCTCTCTCTCTCTCTCTCTCTCTTCTACTTTTCCTTTCTCTCTCGCTCTTACCTGCTCACTCACTCGCACTGCACGACTTAGATCGCCTCCTCCCGCCTTGCGCCGTCGCGCACACCGACGAGGTCGGCATGATCTATGCACGCCATGCGGAGGCGAGTGTCACGGTTTGCTTGATGCATTGGTCCTCACTTGACCCCTTACTCCCCCTGCCACCTCCTCCCGGCCTCCCGCCCGCGCCGCCCTTCGCCATTCTTCCTCCTGTCTCGTTCCGCGGATA